AGGAAGGAAGGAAGGAAGGAAGGAAGGAAGGAAGGAAGGAAGGAGCAATAATTGTGCTTGTGGGAGGGAGAGAGAAAAGAAAGAAGGAACAATAACTGTGCTTGCAGGAGAGAGGGAGAAAAGAAGGGAGGGAGGGAGGGAGAAGGAAGGAAGGAAAGAAGGAAGGAAGGAGCAATAACTGCTTGTGGGAGGGAGGGAGAAAAGAAGGAAGGAAGGAAGGAAGGAAGGAGCAACAATTGTGGAAAGTAATTCTGTGTCTTCTCAGGCAGAGTTAAACCTTCTGCAGCCTCCAAACTTCCATCGCTTCCCCCAGGTTTCTCCACCCTTCCCCCCACTCTGTCCCATGTGATTGATTGATTTGTTTGTTTATTTATTTATTTATTTTTGCAACCCCTTTCATGGTGCCAGCCAATCTTCTCTCCTTCTCCCCCCCTTTCGGCCTCTCTTTACTTCCAAGTTTCCTTTCCATTCATCCCACTTATCTCCCAGACATGGCACCTGTTCTCGGTCCGACTGGCCACTTCCACCCTACTCCCCCCCCCAAAAAAAGACCTTGAATTCAGAGGGCAAAGCGACAAAGGCCCATTGTACAAGGTTGCCGGTCTTCAGTTCTGCAAGAAAACCTCCCCACGAGAGATAATGGCTTCTTTTCATCTCTATCTAGGCTGAACTACGCAACAGACTTTTAAGTTTTGAGCTCAACAACACCAAGGACACACTCCTCAAGTGAGAAGGAACAAAGGTCCCATCACTAGCCCTTGTGGACACGGGAGATGCATTGAATCGGCCTCCAAGTTTGACTCCAACCTGCAGGTAGTCCTCAACTTATGACCCCAATTAAGCCCAACCTTTCTGCTACTAAGCAAGACAGTTGTTAGGTGAGTTTCACCCCATTTTACAATCTTTTGCTATTTTATAAGGGTTGTTCGGTGAACTTGGCTTCCCCGTTGACCTGGCTTGTCAGAAAGTTGCCAACGGGGATTACAGGGGGGGGTGGCTTTTGCAACTGTCGTAAATGCGAGTCACTCCCAAGCATCTGAATTTTGACCGTGGGGAAAAACACCCCAAGTGGTGTTTTTTTTTTTAAAAAAAAGGAGGTTTTGAAACTTTTTTAAAAACCATTTTTTTGTTAAATCACAAATCCCCAGCCAAGAGACACAATGTATTTGAAAGTTTGAAGGAAAAAAAAAATGCTTCAAATATTTCCATATTTTTCTTCTATTAAAGGACAAAGTTGGACGCTTCTGAGCGGCCTGGGAATTGTTTTTCAATTCTTTTCCCCTTTGAAGAGCTGCTGGAAAACAGGTTCTTGGCGCTGGACTGGAAGCGTTAAAGTTATTTCCAAGAGAAGTTGGAGAAAAGAGAGAGTGGAGAAGGGCTAGGAGAGTCCCAGGAATGAAAAGCAAGACACTGAAAGGGATAAAAGGAAAGGAAGAGAATAGGAAAAGGAAGAGGGGAAATTGTTGATAGGAGCCTGGGGAAAGCCTCAGGAGCCCCCCTCCCTGCCGTGGTGCAGGAGGCCGACTAGGCCACGCCCACCAATGCCACGCCCACCCAGCAACCGGGCAGAGAACCCCTTGCTACAATTTTAGAAGGCCACCCCTGGATTAGACGCTATCTTTCTGGGCTCCTCACTCCCCCAAAATATGCAATAGCATCACTCGGACGAATGAATGAGTTGGGTGTTGCCATTTTAAGTTTCCATCGGGTTTTGCGTCATCCATAACGCATTGGGGGGTAGTTGGGCATTAAAGAGGTCTCTTTAAGGGACTCCAGGGGTTATTTACGAGACCCACCCCTTTGGGAAAGCTGTCCTCAGCGGCATCTCTCTGCTTCTCTGCTCCCAAGATCGTAGAAACCATGGTCTACAAGTTCTGTAGGTCTAGAGCTAAGTCCTTCACTTAGGGCCACGATCATTGTGCCCAACATTTCTATTGGTAAGCAAGACAGTCGCTTAAGTGAGCCTCGTCCCATTTTACAACCTTTCTTGTCACCCTTGTTCAGTGAATAACTTCAAATGGTCCCTACATCCCTGCCCATGACGAAGAGGAAGGCAGGCTACCGAAAGCCGGCCACCAAATTCAACCTTCCGTTGCCCGGTGTGTGTCGGTATAATTCCAACGCCACGTTTCTCCTCCAACCCATCCGATGTGGGCAGCTGAACGAAGCTGCTTTGAAGCCTCCGGCGTGGAAGGGATAAATATTAAGAAGTTCATTGCCTGCAAGCCTTTCTTCGGTCAGCAGAACTGCGCCTTCGGATGTGGTTGTACTGTAGCTCTCTGTGACCCCAAAATGAACCTAATTTAATTTCTCCAGAAGAAAGGGAGAATCCAAGGCCTTTCATGCCCATAAATAGAGTTTTGTCTCATTTTGGAGGCTTTCCTCTTTCATAAATCGTATGCAGTACTAACGGGCCGTGATGCGTTTCATTTTATGAAGACAGCTGGCCCTATATACACCCCACAAGGCCTAGTATATTTCAAGAACCTTTCCCCACATTAACCAACTGCCCCAGCGAGGGGAAGCCTTGGAAGAGGCGGGCTTCCAAGTTGGTTGGTTTTGGGTTTTTTTTGTTTTGTTTTAAACCCACCATCAAGATGCGTCTGTAGCTATCGCGGTCAATCCCCCAGAGTTTCAGATCCGTCTTTGCTTTGACGGTCGCAGCTCGTGGTGTGCCATAAATGAGAGCCAGTTCTCCAAAGCTGCCTCCTTCTCCGATGCTGGTGACCAATTCTCCATTCACGTACACCTTCGTTAAAGAAAGGGAGAAAGAAGGTTAGCCCTTGAGAGAAGCGAGGACGGAGCACAAAGGAAAAAAAAATCCTCTCCAAAACGAACATCGCATGCAGGGAGAGGGCTGCTGGGGGTTCGCAGGGGTTTGGTAGAGCGCCTAGCTGTTGTGGTTTGGCGGCAGCAGATGTGGATGGCTGAGGTCTCGGAGAGCAAGGACTCAGGTGAGGGTCCTGCGTGGGATGCAGGGATGGGGCCAGGACCATCAGGGAGTGGAGTGCTGCCTTTGGAGATTGTGGAGGCTGGCAGCAGTGAGGAAGAGTTTCCCGAGGAGCCTGTGCCCAGTGCGTGTATACACAAGGCTGCTTGAAGGAAAGAGCAGCTGCAGCAGCACGGGCGACTCGGGAGTAAGGCTGGAAGGCAATGGCCCCTTCCTTAAGAGATAAAAGACAGCTGAGAAACTGCAGTTCTTTGCAGAGGGCAAAGAAGTTTGATACTCAAGCCTGGTGGATGTTAAAATATCTTCGTTGGTGTTTTTTGATTTATTGTTTAGGAACTTTATCTGTTGTTCTTGGCAAGTTTTGGCAAGGCTCTTTATTGTCGGAGCTAGTTAGTTGCAAACAGCCTTTTATCTGTGAAGAAACAGGATTCGTAAATGAAACAGTAAAAGGTTCTGCTGTTACCTTTGTCTTGTGTTTACTCTCTTGGAACCAGGTTGGGTCAGAACACTAGCTAAGTAACCCCCAAATCTCACTCCTGGCTGGCTCCACCCACCCTTTCCCGCCCCTCCCAGGAGTCCCCACATGGCCCATTTTGGAGGCAGGTAAGTGCAGGGCGTGTGTGGAGGCTCAGGAGAGCAAAAAACGGGCCTCCTGGAAGTTCTAGAAGGCCGGAAATGGGCCCGTTTCCAACCTCAAGAGAGCCTCCGGAGTCCGGGAGGGCAAAAACGCCCCCCCCTCCTGCTGCGGTGCAGGAGGCTGACTAGGCCATGCCCACCATGGCCACGCCCACCAGGCAGAAATCCCCTTGCTAAAATTTTTGAAGGCCACCCCGGATCACAAGCGTACGACACATACAAGAGGCTACGGAGATTCTCGGCCATCCGTTTCGCCAAAGGGCAAAGGGACTTTCTTGGGGAAAGCAACCCGGGGAAAAAATCCTTCATAATACAATAGTTCACTTAACAACTGTGGCAAAGGTGGTGGTAAAATGGGGCAAAAGTCACTTAACCAATGCCTCACTTAACAAGAGAAATTTGGGGCTCAACTGTGGTCATAAGTCAAGGACTGCTTATATTCCTACAGGAAGCCCACATAAAATCTGAGATTCTACACACACCCCAGGTCTCTTCTCTTCCCTTCCTGCGTTCTTGATTTAGAATCCTTTTCAGCCGGCTGGAAGGAACTCCCTTTATTTGAATGTGGCCTTGACTTAAAGTCTGGTTTCAAAGATAATAATAATAATAAAATAAAAATAAAAACCCTCCATCAAAGAGACCACCCTGAAAAGTCCAGGGCTGTAGGCGGAACAAGGGACATTTAAGGGAGAAAAAAGGAAAAACAGAAAACGAAAAATCACAGAAGATAACCAGAGAAAACAACTACAGAACTGTGGCCAAAGAAAACACAACTTAGTAAAAAATATCAAAATAAAATAAAATAAAATCAAAGAGAGCGGAGAATTCTTTCAGAGGTAGGAAGAAGTTGCCTTCAAGGTTGCAATCTTTTGCTGTCTCTCTCTCTCTCCACTGAAAAATTGCTCACCTTCTCTGCCACCCAATTTCCCTAAACCGAACGCTCTCCCGATGGCCTGGACTACAAGGTCCATGATCCTTCCCCTGGCCAGGCAAGCGAGGGGTTATGGCAACTGTAGCTCATCTGCCTCAGTCAGGAGGTCCATCCAGAGGAGCCGGCCTTTTTCCAGAAGCAAAGGGGAGGACGAAAAAGGGCTACCAGGAGGACATGCAATTATCCTTCTGTCCCTCTGTTGAGTTTGACAAGTTGCTTCCCGGATGAAAATGCCAATTTTGGAGTCTCCGTGGCTATCAAAGAGGGAAAAGGTCACCTCCACAAAAAGGCCCAGTGTGCTAGAGAGGAGAACGCAGAGTCCTAAGGGTTTCGACCCGGCATTTTATGATGATGAGAAAATAGGTTGATGATAAACTGTCCTGTCATTCTGGCCTCTGCTTGTGAGTTCAACTCTGTTGAGTTTACTTGCGTGATCTGCCTCTGGGCAGAGGAAGGGAAGGGAAGGGAAGGGAAGGGAAGGGAAGGGAAGGGAAGGGAAGGGAAGGGAAAGAGGAAGGAAGGAAAGTAGAAAATGGAGGGAAGGTAGGAAGGAAGAGGGAGGAAAGGAGGGAAGGAGGGAGGGGAGCAAAGAAAGGAAGGAAGGAAAAGGGAGGGAGGGAAGGAAGAAAGGAAGAGGGAGAGAGGGAAGGAAGAGGGCGGGATGGAGGGAAGGAAGAAAGGAAGGAAGGAAGGAAGGAAGGAAGGAAGGAAGGAAGGAAGGAAGGAAGGAGACTGGGAGGGAAGGAAGGAAAAGCGAGGGGAGGAAGGAAAGAAAGAGAGGAAAGGGAGGGAGGGTGGGAAGGAAGGAAGAAAAGGGAGGGAGGGAGGGAGGGAGGGAGGAAGGAAGGAAAGAAGGAAGGAAGGAAGGAAGGAAGGAAAGCAAGTGTGTCTCTATTAACCTCACTGTTCCAATGACCAGAGCAAAACTTGGCCTGTGTGAAAAGGTATCACGGGAGGATGAAGAAAGACGTCTAACTAAAGGTCCACAGTTTTATTTTCTCTGCAGGGATCCACCTAAGAAAGCTCCTAGGAACCATTTCGGAACAAAACTTCCAACTCGGAGTTTAATAGGTCAGCTCAGCCGAGGTATCCATCCATGGGACTCTGCAAACGTGGGTTAAAAACAAGCCAACATTCCTTTTCCATGGCTGGAGCGGCTGAGCCCATCTACACAGTAGCCAAAGATCTCCCTTATTCTCCCTCCTTCCCTCCCTCCCTCCCTCCCTTTCTCTCTCTCTCTCTCTCTCGCTTTCTCTCTTTCATGTCTGTTGCAAAGGAATGCGGAGCTGGAGATACCCAAATATGAAGAGTTATGATTCTGCCAAAGGCCTGCAGCTTTGCAAAGATCAAAAACATTCTGAGCTTCTATTGTTTTTCCCATCTCTTTTGATATGAGTCACGGCCTTCTTCCCAACAGGTCCCACTTAACCCCCTCTTCCTTTCTCTGGCAAGCAACGGCAATTCAGTGACCGTTACAAAAATAATGTTTTTTATTAGGTGTACTATCAGAAAAAAAACTTAGGAAAAAATATGCCTCAGATATGACACATCTTTAATAGCAGCGAGGATTATTTTTGCACAATACTGGGAAAATTAAGAAGATATTCCACGAGATGAAGAGATAGTTAGAATAGAATAGAATGGAATGGAATGGAATGGAATGGAATAGAATAGAATAGAATAGAATAGAATAGAATAGAATAGAATAGAATAGAATAGAATAGAATAGAATAGAATAGAATAGAATAGAATAGAATCAAATCTATTAAGAATAGAATAGAGTAGAGTAGAGTAGAGTAGAGCAGAGTAGAATCTATTAAGGATAGAATAGGATAGAATAGAATAGGATAGGATAGGATAAGATAGGATAGGATAGAATCAAACCTATTAAGAATAGAGTAGAGTAGAGTAGAGTAGAGTAGAGTAGAGTAGAGTAGAGTAGAGTAGAAGCTATTAAGAATAGAGTAGAGTAGAGTAGAGTAGAGTAGAGTAGAGTAGAGTAGAGTAGAGTAGAGTAGAGTAGAGTAGAGTAGAATCTATTAAGGATAGGATAGGATAGGATAGGATAGGATAGGATAGGATCAAACCTATTAAGAATAGAGTAGAGTAGAGTAGAGTAGAGTAGAGTAGAGTAGAATCTATTAAGGATAGGATAGGATAGGATAGGATAGGATAGGATCAAACCTATTAAGAATAGAATAGAATAGAATAGAATAGAATAGAATAGAATAGAATAGAATAGAACAAGAAAAGGAGGAGGAGAAGCTAGTCCTCAGAAGGAGGAGGCTGGGGGCTGTATGCCCTCTGACCCCCAGATCTCCCAGCCCTGGTCTGTCTGTAAGAAACGGAGAGAAAGCATCTCCTTATAAAAACCTTCCTTGTCTCTAAGAAAGAAACCGCTCGCAGGTCCATTTGCTGCTCCCTCTGGGAAATCTGCCTCGCTGGAATTATATCATTTGATCCGTCAGCTGTAACAAGACCCGGCTTGTTATTCCTGAGTCAGAAACTCCAAATATGGAATATGGTTCCAGCAGATAGGAGAGATCTGTTCCGTTTTTTTTTGTTTTTTGCGGCCAGGCGGACGGCTTCGGTAGCTGTGGAAACAGGCAGCCTGCCCAAAAAACGTTTGGGGTCAAAATAGAAATAGCAAGCTTCCTGTAAAAACCAAACAACAAAAACAACAACAAAGGTTGAAACTACCTTGCTCCGGGGAAGTGTGGGTTTGTGGGACTGGCTAAAAAGAGGAAATCAAATCAAAATAAAATTCCCAATCCGTCCTTCTAAATATAAACCCACCCTGAGTGGTTATTTTCATTTTACAAGCTTTGCAGATGGATGTTGTTGTTTTTACCTCTTCTGCTCGCCCATTAAAAAACACCCCCAAGCGTGGTCAGCTGGAATTTTCAAAATAGAGACCTGGGACGGCTTTTGTTTTGAGAAAAATATTTTGGAGAGAAAGTGGGTGATAAGACAATAGCTAGCCCAAAGCAGGACTGTTTCCTGCAGCCTCAGAAGTGGCCCTGTAAGCCTGCCACAACAGGCTGGGCCTAAGACACAACATGAGCCAGCAGCATGCGGCGGCAGCCAAAAAAGCCAACGCAATCCTAAATTGCATGAATAGAGGGATACAATCCAGATCAAGGGGAGGTACTAATACCACTCTATAAAGCCTTAGTAAGGCCGCACCTAGAGGACTGCATCCAGTTTTGATCACCACACTATAAAAATATGTTGAGACTCTATAAAAAGTGTAGAGAACAGCAACCAGAATGATTTAGGGCAGTGGTCCGCAACCTTTTTTGTGCCGCGGCCCGGTACCGGCATCACAAAATAATCCGCGGCCCGGTACCAGCATCAGCACGCATGGCAAGGCAAGGCGAGCCGAGCGACCGGCCAGCCAGCCGTCCCCCGCTTCTCCCCGCCACCTTCAACTCCTCCTTTGTACCTGTGTCGATGGGCTTCGCGACGGCTTCGGGATGGTCGCTCGGCTCGCCTTGTCTTGGGTGCTGAAAGAATCCTCGCGCCTTAGTTTTGTTCTAAGCTGCGCCCCCCCTCGATGAAACTAAGGCGCGAGGATTCTTTCAGCACCCAAACGCCGCTTTCTACCCAGGAAAAGCTCCCCGGAAGCCCTTTTTCATCAAAACAAGATGGCGGCACCTAGCAAACTGGCGGCCCGGTAGAAATTGTTCCACGGACCGGTACCGGTCCAGGGACCGGTGGTTGGGGACCCCTGATTTAGGGGACTGGAGGCTAAAACTTATGACGGACGGTTTCAGGAACTGGGCCTGGCTAGTCTAGGGAAGAGAAAGACCAGGGGAGACAAGAGAGCAGCCTTCCAATATTTGAGGGGCTGCCACAGAGAAGATGGTGTTTGATTTTATTGTACAAGGTGCAATGACAATAAACTAAACTAAAAAGTGACATATAATAAAAATGTCCGCTACCGGTTCTCCAAAACTGGTCAGAACCGTCTGAAGACCACCTCTGAGTGCGTGTGGGGGTGCACCTTAAAACGATCTTCATCGCCATCCTTGCGATGATGCTAAAAACCATATTTCGTCTCTGTCGGCGCCCTGCAAATGTGGCAGGCTTCAAACAGACATCCTCGCTTCCCCAGTCGGAAGGATGAGTCAGTTGGAGTATCTTGAGGGAACGGTGAGTTGGGGACGGCTTCCGACGCCCGAACAATGCTAATTAGGTGACCTCCTGACACACCAAGAGCTTGCCATAAAAAGAGGCTATGTCTCCCTAAATAGCTGTCAGGCGCTGCTGGGTGGCTTAAAAATATGCCAGCTGCTTCTTAAAATAGAACCCAAGTGGGGAAAGACTGCCAAATTTTATTTTGATACGATCTAGGAAGCCACAGAAAGAGCTCTCTCGCCCTCATAATGGATGGAAACTGAACAAGGAGAGATTCAACCTGGAAATAAGGAGAAACTTTCTGACAATGAGAACAATCCACCCATGGAACAGAAGTTGCCTTCGGAAGTTGTGGGAGCGCCATCACTGGAGACTTTCAAAGAGGAGACTGGATTCCCATCCGTCAGAAATGGTGTAGGGTCTCCCGCTTGGGCTGGGGGTTGGACTAGATGACCTATGAGGTCCCTTCCAGTTCTTATTCTGTTCTGTTTGAGATATCTGATGACACAGCTACGCTAGAAAATGTGCAAAGAAGAGCAACCAGGATGAGACTGGAGACTAAAGCATACCGATGAACAGTTGTAGGAACTGGGCCTGGTTAGTCTAGGCAAGAGAAGGACCAGGGGAGACAGGAGAGCAGCCTTCCAATATTTGAGGGACTGCCCCAGAGAGGAGGAAGGGGTCAAGCTATTTTCCAAGGCCCCTGAAGGCCAGACAAGGAAGAATGGATGGAAATTGGACAAGGAGAGATTCAACCTGGAAATAAGGAGAAATTTTCTGACAGTGAGAAATGTAAAAGATCAATAGTTCACTGTGTACAACCAAGTACAGGTAGACTTACGACCACAATGGAGCCCAAAATTTATGTTGCTTAAGTGAGACAGTTGTTAACTGAGTTTTGCACGGTGTTACGACCTTTCTGGCCACCATTGTTGAGAAAACCACTGCAGTTGTTAAGTTAGGAACCCGGTTGTGAAGTGAATCTACCTTTCCCATTGACTTTGCTTGTCAGATGGTCGTAAAAGGGGAACATGTGATCCCAGGATGCTGCAGCTGTCATAAATATGAGTCAGTTGCCAAGCATCACGTGACCATGCTGCAATATATTGGTCATAAGTCACATTTTTCAGTCCTGTTCTAACTTTGAATGGTCACTAAAAGGACTATTATCAGTCAAGGACCACTTGCAGACTCAGACTTCTGAAATTCCCCTTTCTGTTTCAAACTTTGTTAGATACAAAATCAATGCTGCTTTCCCCCACTCCAAAAAGAAATCAATTTGTTCTCAACAGTGCCATAATTTTCCTTACAAATTCCTTACAAAGTCCCTGTTTCTGGGCCTACCCGAGCCACCTGGAGGTAAGCTGTCTATGATGACCCAGGGCGTGTCACAAAAATAACCAAGTCACAAAAATAAAAATACATTCCCTTTAATGCCTCCAACTTGGCCCCAATGTCCAATTATCCTCGCCTGGATATCAAACTCTTGAAAAAAACAGTCTACGGAGGGAGTAGTGCAGTCCGAACCCAAAGTAAAGTTAATTAGAAACAAAAAAACCAACACAAACCATGCTGAAGTAATTAATACAGCAGGCAAGGATGATTAATTGCAGACTTCTACCAGATAATGCAGCAACCACAGTTGGGATGAAGCCAAAACCCAGATAAGCTCTGACAAGAATAATGCTTCCAGCAACTTTGCTATGTGCAGTTTGTCCTTTTAAACAGTCCTCCCAGCTGCAGCCCATGAAGGGGATCAGGGCCCCTTCCTTCCCCATAGACCATGCCACTCAGGTTTCTCCCTTATCCGCTTCTCCCTGCGTGACCTAGGATGAAGAGGGGATGGGCCTGGGTCTTCTTCTGAATGCCCAGCCAGACTGTGCCCTTCTCCAGTTTCCTCCACAACCACCGGAGCCACACTCCCACTCCCTGTAAACTATTCCATCTCTCCCTCGGAGTCAGACTCCAGCTGGGGCGTGACACTGTCATTTTCAGGTTTCCCTCCCCATGGCACGATTTCAACCCTTCAGAGCAAAGTTTGGGAAAACAAATTGAATCTTTTGAAGATGAAAACTGAGCTTGCCCCCGGCTCCCTACTTGCTCTTTGCGGAAGGCATGAGATGACCTAATCCTAGATGATTAAGCCAAAACAGTTTGCTCCAGTTTCACCCAACCCTTCAGGCGCATTCCAACTTGATCACCTTCCATCTTGAGATTGTTTAGCAGTAAATTGCATGGCCTACGGGCGTGGTTACTCTAAGGCTCTCAACCTATAATAATTTGTTGGCTGATGAGATGCCATTAGGCCGCTTTATACGGACAAATAAGCTTGGCCCCTGATGGCAATCCATGGGAAGGTTGTTCCTGAAATGCCTTCTCAGCTTCCTCCAGGCCTCTTTGGGATGAGGACTTATCCGGGGAATGGCGCTTTCATACATTTGGGCAATCTATGAATAGGGTTCACACATTCCTTTTTTTTTTTTCTAGGTCACCAATAAGGAGGAGTCAGAAGTTCTCTTGTTCATATCTTAGCCAGAACATCAACAAATTTCTAGACACTAAAAGCAGAGGTCTCCAAACTTGACAACTTTAAGACTTGTGGACTTCAACTCCCAGAATTCTCCAGCCAGCAAAGCTGGCTGGAGAATTCTGGGTGTTGAAGTCCACAAGTCTTAAAGTTGCCAAGTTTGGGGACCCCTGCACTATAGGAAAAGCAAATCCTTCAAATACAACTTACATACACCTCCCCGTGATCGATCACATAGAAGTTGTCACCTTCATCACCTACAGGGGAACAGAAAAACAAATCAGGAACCCGTCAACTAAGATTGTGAATTTTTTTAAACATTTTTTTTAAAAAATTTAAAACTTGAACAGATCATCTTCCATTAAACAGTTTGTCGTCTGGCTACAAATGTCTTTGTGCAATTACAATCAAAGATTACAATATTCATTACATTGATAATAACCCTCTAATCTTACAATATTAATAACCAGCATTATAACTCTATTCATTTCTCCCTCTTATCATATCTTCTAATGAAAATATGATATTATATTGAGTAAGATCATCTTAACAATCAGATATAATAGCCATCGTATTGTTTACATCTCTATTTTTAACATCTATTCTTTATTTTACTAATCTCTATTTATTTCTCACTTCTATTTTTATTCTCCAACCATCCCTAAAAGAGCTCCCATGTCATATAATATCCCATTTGTTCTTTCTCTTTTATAGCAAGCATTAATCTATTCATTTCTGCACGTTCTAATATTTTCCTAATCGCATTCTCATCTATAGGGATTTCATTACTTTAAACTAAGATTGTGACTTTGTACCAGCTTTGAAAATACTTGACCAGTGAAAACTAAGTGGGAAGGTATGAATTAAGCTTTATAAAACCCTAAGTAAGGTTTTCTCTATCTTTCTACAATTTGCTGCCTGAATCTGTCACATAAAACTTGCTTGCAGCAAATAAAATTTGCTAGCAAGCAAACTCACAGAATTAACTCACAACACCACGTATGTAAATATTGAATATTTTATATATTAAAAAATAAGAGCAACTTTTACCCAAAGTCTGGCAAAGCAGGCAGGCAGATTGAGTTGCTCGCAGAATCACAGATTCACTCAGAGATCTACCTTTCTGCAATCTGCTGCCTGAGTCTGTCACACAAAATTTGCTTGCACAACGCAGGAGAGTTGGATGGCATGCATGCGAGATAAGGAGCGACTGGGTGGGGCAGGAGGGGTGGGCGGAGAGGGGCGGGGCCAGCCAGTGGTGCAATTTGCCAGTTCTCCAAATTGCACAGAATGGTAACAACCGGTTCTATAGAACTGGTCCGAACTGGTAGAATCCCAACCCCCGGATGCGCCCTCTTTCAACTCAGGAAGCTCACCTTGTTGGATCACAGTCTCTCCAGCAATATGGGTGACGGGGAACATTGCGTCAAATATGTCACTGCAAAGAGAGAGAAAAGAAGCAATGATTTAGCAGTGGTGGGTGAAGCATGAAGTGGTTATAACCCTTCTGGGGCAGTCTACCAAAGAAGGACAAAAAAATACCAGTTCTGTTTTTATTATAAGGTTATACAGGCAGTCCTGGACTTACAACAGTTCATTTAGTGACCGAAGTTACAACGGCATTGAAAAAAAGCGACTGATGATCATTTTTCATATTTATTGTCGGGATTCCGGCCGTTACTCCCAATTAAATCATGAATCTCGAGCCAAACTTCCAAAACTTCAAAAGGATTTATTGGGAGTTAACATGCTGGCATTGCCTGGGTGTAGCCAACTCTGAGACACCTCATTCATTGTCACCCTTGACCCTGGTTTTCCCCCCTACCCCTGGGTGTATCGTAATTCATATTCTCCAATGGGACACATTCATAGCCCAGAGTCATCAATCGTGCTCTCCAGTTAAGAATTTTGCATGGCAGAAACTTTGGTCGCCTAGAAACTATCCTTGAAAAACATTTATGGAATGCACTTTCGGTTTGCAAACTGCTGCACTGCCCTTTCAAACCCCTTTCCCTCCTCTCTAAAAAGACCATAGAAATATTTTATGTGTTGACACTTATGAACGCCGCAGTATCCTTGTGGTCATGTGATCAAAATTCAGATGCGTGGCAACTGACTCATAGTTATGACGGTCGCCGGGGGTCACGCCAATCCCCTTTTGCAAACTTCTGACCAGCCAGGTCAATGGGGAAGGCAGATTCACTTCCACAATTGTGTGACTCACTTAGCAACTGCAGTGATTCATTTAATAACTGTGGCCAGAAAGGTCGTAAAATGGGGCAAGGTACAATTCACGACCGTCTCGCTTCGCGAGATAAATTTTGGGGGGGCTCGGTTGTGGTCGTAAGTCAAGGACTGCCTGTATTTTAATGTGGGCAAGAAAAAGGGAAAGGAATATGTGTTTTTTGTCTTTGGGTATTTTTTTTTAACTTTGCATGTTTTTTAAATGTCGTCTAGTTTTGTTTTCGTCTCTATTACACTTTTTTTTCCCCCCCTCTTTTGGATTTGGCCTTTTGATCTTCTGAAACAAATTTAAAAAATAGGAAAAGAAAGAAAAAGGGAAAAAAAGAGAGATGAGTAAGAAAGAAGAGTTTAAGGGAGAAAATTTCTCCAAAGGTCTGCAGCAGTTCTGCAGATGTTGAAAGACGAAACAGTGAAGGCTAAACCAACTGCATCCACTGACAAATTGGTTCACAAAAATACTGCCTGTGGATTGTGTGCTGACACAACAGCCGTGACTACGTAAATAAAAATGTGAAAGTGACCTTCACAATGAGTGCACAGCCTGGTTGTACAACAGCATCTTTCTTTCTTTCTTTCTTTCTTTCTTTCTTTCTTTCTTTCTTTCTTTCTTTCTTTCTTTCTTTCTTTCTCTTTCCCCCCTCCCCTTTCTCTCCCTCCCTCCCTCCCTCCATCCCTCTGTGTGTGTGTGTGTGTGTGTGCGCGCACGTGTGACATGAGCAAGGAGAATAAAGACATTTTGAAAAAGATTCACCCAAACACAGGGAGGTCAGTGTGTAACCTACGGCAATTTTCGCTCCCATATATGGGAAAACTTGCAAAAATCCCATTATTAGCTTATTTCCTGTCCAGCAGTTCCAAACCCCACTCAGGCCTTGATTCTAGGAAACACCCGGTCATAAATTTAAGCCATTCTCTTTATTCCTGAAGAGTTATCATATCAGCGGACAAAGGCTCAGAGTGATTCACGGACAAACCTAGGAGGGACTCTGGGATAGAGAAGGAGGGAGTTGAAAGGCACCTGGAGGTCTTCTAGCTCAACCCCCAGTTGCAAGAAGACTCAGGAGGGTTGAGGGGGGGGGGGGGGGGGGGGGAGAAGCTGGCCTGCTGTGGGATGGGGTACCTCACAAAAAGAACCCATTGAAGAGAACCGGGTTGCTTCCCCTGCTCCAACCCCTTGTACAGGTAATCCTCGACTTACACCAGTTCATTTAGCGGCCGTTCAAAGTTACGACATCACTGGGAAAAAAACGTGACTTGGGATCACTGTTCACACCTGTGACCATTGCAAGCCTCCCCATGATCAGGCGATCAAATTTCAGGCACTTGGCCCCTGACTCGTAGTTATGGCATTTCCCAGTCTCCTGGGATCATGGGATTCTCCTTTTGCGACTGTCTGATGAGCAAAGCCAATGAGGAAGCCAGATTCTTCCCGCTTAACAACCTTGGGTCTTCCGGTCAGCTCCAGGACTGAATGGGGGGCTTCCGGTTAGGGCCTTTGTGGCTCTTTGAGTGTTTAAGGTTCCCGACTCCTGCCCTGGTCTTAGTCCAAGGGTTTGGCTAAGCCCAAATTTTGCGGAACGACAACTCCCAATGATTCCAGCCAAAGGTAGCCTTTTGTAGTTTGGAAACTTCCGAAAACCTACACATCTCCGATCCCTCATCCCTGGAGTGTTCGGCTGAAGATCAAGGAGACCGGGGGAAAAAAATATTAGTCTTATCTTTCTTCTTGAGCCTTGCAGATTCCCTAGTTGGGATGAAGAGGATGATCAAAGGACTGAAGTCCACTCTCCAATGCCATGGTCAGATCCAGGTTGATTAACCCAGCAGTTGCATTTCAAGTTCAGAAAGGCAAATATACCCGATTAATACATGCATGCTACTGTCAGCTCATGAAATATTCCTATGGTCTTTTTAGAGTGGCCAACAGAAGGGGGGGGTGGGGGAGCAGTGCAGCATCCTGCAAACCGAAACTACATTCCACCAATGCTTTCAAAGATAGTAACTAGGTGACTGGAGTTTCTGCCACGCAAAATTCTAACTGGAGAGCATGATTGATGATGACTCTGGGCTATGGGTGTGTCCCATTGGAGAATATGAATTACGATACACCCAGGGGGGTCAACTAAAAAGAGACTCCTTTGGTCTTTTTTAGCTGCTAGAAAAAGGAACTGGGGGAAAACAAGGCATTCTTTAAATGCCTAGATAATCACCCCGGTAGCCCAAAGTTGTCGTAGCATAAGAAGGTTATTGGAGAGCACGATGGAGGACTCTTAGAGATGGATGTGTCCCATTGGAGAAGTCACATCCAGGGGGGTGAGGGGAAGACCAGGGTCAAGGGGGAAACGTATGATGTGATTTAGTATCAGCTTCACCCAGCCACGCGCCAACATGGCAACCTCTAATAAATCAATTTACTTCTCTCTGAAATGTGGCTAGAGACTTTTGATTTGAATGAAGGTGGATTGGTTGGAGCCCTGACACAGGGGGTGGGAGGAAAACCAGGGTCAAGGGTGACAATGAATGATGTATCTCTGTCAACTACACCCAGGCAGTGCCGGACATGTTAACTCCCAAGAAATCCTTTGGAAGTTTTGGAAGTTTGGCTCGAGACTCGTGATTTAATTGCGGGTAACTGCCGGAATCCTGACAATTTGCCAACTTAACAACTGCAGTGATTCACTTAACAACAAGAAAGGCCCAAAAAAGGGGGGTTAAACTCTTTTAACAAATGTGTCACTTAGCAGCATGAATCTTGGGCTACCTGGACGCTTCTACGCGAGGGGTCCTGACTTCTAAAATTTGGAAACCCTCTATTTGGGGCTAAGCAGGGTTATGTTAGTCTCTGCCCTCGCCCCTCCTTCGCCGCTCAGGACGATGGGAGTTGACCTCCCGAGCAACCAAGTTTAGGGGAAAACCATCCCAGGAAAAGTGTCTCCAATCTTCAACCCCATGGCAATTTTTTTCCTCTTGGCAGAAATGCAAAGATTTCTTGGCAAAGAAAGATTTCCTAAAGTCGGAAAGTGCCTGAATGGGGCCTTTTAGCGATCCGCAGGGGCTTAGAAATCAATTCCTGGATCCTTCTGAAAGAGGCTGTAGTTTTAGAGGAAACTTCGGTCTCGCTTTCATAAGGAGAAAGGAAGGGTGGGAACAGGGGCAATATTTAGCTCGGGAGAAAAAAGGGGGAAAAGGCCCGTCACAAATGCATTACTTAAGGACCGTCCTAAGCTGTCGATTACGGCTCAGGAGAAGAAACAGGTGCCTGGCATTTTCCTTGCTCCGTTAAACTTGTATTAACTCGAGAGAAAAATGCATCACAAAGCCCACAACAGGATGCATCGCATTTCACGGCTGAGGCTGTTATTTCTTCTCTTTATTGACTGCCCTGTTCTCCCAGCTGAAGGACTTTGCAGCGGTCAATGGAGGACCACGTCAAAGAAAGGTTGAAATATAGCAATAGCCATAGCACTTAAGACTTATATCCTGCTTTACAGTGCTTTACAGCCCTCTCTAAGCGGTTTACAGAGTCAGCCAGTTGCCCCCAAGAGTTAGCCTGAGACACTGGACTGTTACAACTACATCATTATGACTTCCTTCCTTCCTTCCTTCCTTCCTTCCTTCCTTCCTTCCCAAGCAAAAGAAGACTTATATACCCCTTCCCGGGGTTTTACTGCCCTCTCTAAATAGTCAAGAAAGATAAAGGTGTGTTCTTATCAGACTTCTCCCAAAAGGACTTTGGCAGACTTCCATGGGACGATTTATAACTGCTTGAGACTCATTACAGGCTGTGAATGATGATAATTCACAGCCGTTGAACTAAAATAAAAGGGTTTTGGATTTAACGTGTGTTTGTTGGTGTCTCAGGAAGCCTTGGTCCGAACAACAGGTCACTTAGCAACCAAAATGATTATAGACTTTCAAAAAAAAAAAAGAAGAAGAAGAAGAGAGACTTACAACCCAGACCTGAAGTTACTAGGGCCCTTGGTCATGTGATCACATTTGGGGATTCGATAACCGGCCCGCATTTACGGCACTTGATTACGTGATCCCAATTTCCAACATCCTCATCGTCCTCATTATTATTATTATGCCAAGAACTGGGATTTATTTCCTGTTCACAGCACATGCACACACACACACACAAACACACACACACACAAACACACACACAAATGCCCATTGCAGACGATGGGTTTC